CATTACGCTAAGTGAAAGAAGCCAGACACAGAAGACCATGTTACATGCTTGATTCACGCAATGTCTGGAATGTGTAAATGCATAGAGACAGAGAGGATTCCAGGACTGGGGGCTGGGGACCATGGCCAGTGGACATGGGATTTCCTTTCAGGAGATGAAAATACTCTGGAATTAGATAGTGGCAACAACTGCATAACTTTTTAAGTATGCTGAATCTGTTGAATTGCGCAGTTTAAAAGGGTGCATTTTATGGCATGTGAATTATGTTTCAGACACACAGAGAAGGCCCCTGGAACCTCATGTGCACTTGGGTTTTTGGCCACAGTAGCATTCATATGAGGCCTGGTGCAAGGCTCTCCGCTCCACAGCTGGGTGGAAGATGGAGGAGAGATGGGCAGGGAATGGAGCACAGCTGGGCCCCAGCTGTACCACACTCCAGGCTGATGAATGTGACAGACAGAGATGGGGCAAGGGGGGATCGTAAGACAGTGAGGTCTGAAAACTGGGCCTGGGCATATAAAAATCCTACATGCTTCTCCCAGGATGGAGCTCCGTACTTCAGCTGAGAGCTGGAGCTCTCCTTTGCTCTACCTAGAATTTGCATGGGAGTAGAGAGATGATAGCTCTCGCTTCTTATCAATATGGAGGCAACTGGAGGGGGTTGAGATCCTCAGGCTATACAATTCTGGGTTCAGATGCTGCACAGCCTTGTGAAATGTGCTGCCTTCTTTGAGTCTCAGTCTTGCTGTGGGTAAGATGAGAACAACAGCAGTACCTACCTCCTAGGGCGCTTGTATGGGATCCTGAGACAATGCACTAAGGCTCGAGCACAGACTCTGGCACACTGCAGTGCAGAAGAGGCTGCTGTGGTCAAGAGTGGGGCTGCTGGAGCCCGATTTCTCCTCCAAGTCCCCTGCACACTGAGCACAGCCGCAAAGTTTGGGAGGGTAGCGGCAGCACAGAGAACCCTTGTGTTTTGGGATGGAAATGAGCAGCACCAGCAGGTCAGGATGACACTGGGATCTGAGCAGCAAGGTGGGGGCCAACAGCGCCCCTCACCCCTCCACGGGGCAGACCCCTGCCCGCTCTCGCCCTTCCCGCCAGGTCTGGCTACAGAACAGTCGCTTTCCGCAAGACTTCAGCTTCTTTCAGCCAAAACACAGCAGTAAGAAAATGTCACTGGATTCTTCAGGGACTCAGAAGCCAGCAGTGAGTGGACGAAAGCATCCCAGTCTTGTTGAAGCCTCACAGTAAAAATGACTGTGGGATGTAACCTCCATCTCAGGAGCTTTCTATCGTCTGAACGCCCGTCTATCGCTGCTAATGCCACAGAGCAGTGGAAATGAAAAGAGGCCTCAGACATAGGACAAAAAGAATGAAAAAAAATGCTAAGTTCTGCCTGAGGGAAAGAAGATGACAGGAAAAGACAGTATTTACCACAGAGGTGCTCAAAATCAGTATCCACTTAGCCAAGGTGGCAGATGACCTAATGCTGTCCACTGCCTCTGTACACCCGCTGGCCACCAGACACTGATGCCTGCGTGGGCTGAACAGGTTCCTTTGTCAGAACAATTTGAGTAGCCAAATTATCTGCTTACCAGAAGTCAGCAGTGTTGGTATCTAGACTGTTGGATGCCAATTATACATGTTATCGTGATTCTCTAATTTAATGAACTACTCTGTAAACAGATGAAATATGAGTGCAAAAAGAAACAGTTATTGTTGCTAGCATAACAACGTAGAAAGCTTTGGAAAGACTTGAGAGTCAGTTGGCCTCCACCTACCCTTCTTCGTTGTTAGTAGGACACCAGATAAACTGGCAATCTGAACCACTTCTTTTGGAATTACTCATTTTCCCCTGGGTATTGCCCATGTACACATGATATACATGCTAATGAGCTTTTTTTTTTAAAAAAAGATTTGATACCCAAATTTGCTTTAAAATGCTGAATACTTAGGGTCAAGTGAGGCAAGTGTGAGATTGGACTATATAATAAAAACCCAAGAAGATCCTGTAGCCAGATTAGCTCCCAAATGTCAACGTTCTTATTCTACTTCAAATATAGATTTTTTTTGTTTTTGTGTTTTTGAGACAGGGTCTCACTATGTAGTTGAGACTGACCTGGAACTTACTATGTAGCCCAGGCTGGTCTCGAACTCACAGTGATCCTCCTGCCTCAGCCTCCCGAGTGCTGGGATTACAGGCATGCACCACCACACCTGCCTCAAATATAGAATTTATAGATGCTTTTAATAGGAAAGGTTTATACAAGTAAAATGATACACTTTGATCATAAAAAGTCCTTGGCCCTTTATTAAAAGATTCATAAGTGAATATATATGTATATCTTTTAAATTAAGATAAAGTGCGTCCTTCAAATAGGTTGTTCCTTTTTTGAAAGCAACTTTTCCAATTAACCAACCAACAAACTAGTTGTCTCAAATGCACCGGTTAAGGAACATCTATGGTATACTAAGGTCTTTTCTTATTTCATACCTTTTCTTTCCTAAAACAGAGTAGTGACTGTCTGATGCGATCTTACCTCAGTGTTGTATTTCCTCAGAACTACAGCAGCAATGTTCTTCAGAGTAATGATGACAACCACAGAGCAATGAGAAAATAAGTTTTGGGGGAATCCTTAAACCTAGTATCTCTTACAAATTTACAATACTGTCTAGTATACTAGGCATAAAGAAATACGCTACACACTATAGGACCCAGATTTATCTAAAAATTTCACCTTTTTGGCAGCAACATTGAGTTAAGTCCTGTAAAGTAATCAAGGACACATAGAAGAATAGTACATGACCCCTATTACCAAGTACACACACACACACACACACACACACACACAGAATGGGTAGGTGACCACCCTGGTCAGTTTGGTCTAAGCTTCAGATGATGACAAATTAATTGGTGTTGCAGATCAAAATGATATATCAGCCTTCTATCTCTAATTTTCATAAATGTTGGGCTTCGACCTCAAAAGCTTGCTCTTGGTTCACTATTCTAGAAAGTTCAAAGGGAACAATTTCTGAAGTGCTGACTATGTACTGGGCCTGGCTCTTTTTTTTTTTTTTTGGTACCGGGATTGAACTCAGGTCTTTGCACTTGCAAGGCAGGCCACCGAACTGCTGAGCTAAATCCCTGGCCCTGGGCCTGGCTCTTTATGGATGTTCTCTCATTTACTTTTCACAGTGACAGGAAATACTTGTTATTTTTTTCATAGCAAGCATCGGAGTAATCATATAGGTAGCGGGAGAGCCTCAATCCATACCCTGACCTGCCTGGCTTCAAATCCTATCTTCTTTCCCCCTGTGCCTGGTTACCAGGAGACTTCTCGCTTCTGTCCTGAAGCTGGGGGAAGGAATGTGTGTGTCCATAGATAACAAGATGACTGGAGAGGGAACAGACTGTGTGGCCTGGCCATGGTCTGCGGGGGGCAGTTGTGCACGTGAAGGACAGCCATGCTGCTTGTTTCTCTACAGCAGCTTAGACTTCTCCCTCTCAGTGAGAAGCTGTGACTTCTGACTTTGGAGGCATGGGGGCCACTCCCTTCTCATCTCTGGAGGCTGCTGTGAGGAAGGCATTTATTGCCAGAGGCCTTCACCGATGCCAAGTGCATAATTACTAGTATCTGTGCATGAATGCATTCCTGGGCTGGAAAGAATAGCAGGGTGGAGGGTGAAAACAGGCAGAAAGTTCATATTCATGCTTTTCAGCAAGGTCTCTAGATTGTCCCAGGACCTTTTAAAGAATTAGCATCGTCCTTCCTTCCTTCTGCTTGGTGCTCAGCAAAGACCCTGAGCTATAGAATGAGGCTAACAAGGAGGGAGAAAGAGGGTAGGATGTGAAATGAGGTGGGGCTAGAGGTGAGGGACAAGGAACTGAGCTGGGTGACCTGCAGTGGGGTGTGGAAGCAGTGGGGTTAGTGAGAGGGTGCTGGCCCAGAACAAGAAAGAAAGAAGTGAGGTTGCAGTTGTGTTTACACTAATCTGCAAAAATGCATGGCGGTCAGAAGTAAAGAAGGAAAGGGAGCTGGGCGTGGTGGCGCACGCCTGTAATCCCAGCACTTGGGAGGCTGAGGCAGGAGGATCGCTGTGAGTTCGATACCAGCCTGGGCTACATAGTGAGTTCCAGGTCAATCTCACTAAAAAAAAAAAAAAAAAAAAAAAAAAAAAAAAAAAAAAAAAAAAAAAAAAAAAAAAAAAAAAAGCCCACACACAATCATTGGCTTTATTTATTGCTACAGCCCTTGAAATGAGTGCTAGAGATTTTCAGTTTAGAAGTCACTCCTGACATTCCACGGGAGGCTAACCCTACACACAAACACATAACTGTCATCATGTCATAGGCACATGGTAAGCACTTCATAAGCCCTGCATTTAAACCCAGGTGTTGTGCCATTTTACACCAGTAGAGATGGAGATTTAGGAAAGCATCCGCTCTGTGTCACAGAGCCGGTAATGTGGAGGAGCCTAGACTTTGGCCGTGGCTGCCCCTCTGGAGGTAGATCTTCCAAGCATGGTCTTCCACATTGCACCTCCTCTGCCTACTCTGGTCTGCAGAGAGACGGACACACGAAGCTGCCCCCGGGAGAGTGGACTCTGGGGTCTTGACGGAGAACTGATATGTTCTCCCACAGAAGGGGGCGGGGTGCACACGGCTGTTAGAGGGATGTAGGCTCCGGCCCAGTAACCCCAGCCCCACCCACCCTTCACTCTGTGCCCCCAACGGTATTGTACACTTGTCTAGTAGTTCAGTGTTTGACCCTATTTTCTTGTCACACTTTCTTTCAGGTAGCAGAACAGTAGCAAGTACTAAAAAGTCTCCTAGCTTTAGGTTCCACTTAAGAGAGACCCCCCCACCCTGGCGTGTAGCCCTCATCCTTAACACAGCAGGGCTTTCCTGAGGCCACACCCTCTGCAGGTCTGGCACCCACACTGTGTTATTCATACGCCCTGCTGTGACTCCACACCTCCAGTGTATACACACTCACCATGAGATGTTGGAAGAGCCAAGAACGCATTATATTGGTGGCGTGCTTGGGCAAGACTCCTCGTTTGTTCTTGGACTTCTTATCCTCATTGTCCAGGAGGGAGGTGAGGTCAAGGTTAACCTTCAGGGCACGTGGAGAAAAAAATCAGCATCAGCAGACTGTGAGGCCAGGGGTTGGGGGCCTGTTGCCATAGCGACGGCAGGCTTTTGCTGCCAACCCTGTTCTGAACTCATTCTTAGGGCCTGAGGGAAGTCACCTTTCCCTCTTGCCCTAGTGCAGCCCCTTAGAGAATGGAGATGAGGCTTGGGGTCAGGAGAGCAGGGGAAAAGGAGAGGGAGAAGGAGGAGGAAGATAGGAAAAAAGTGGATGGGAGAAAAGATAGAGAAAACATGGGGCATGCACAGAGTACTGAAGATGTGAGTTTGCCATAAACCATCTAATAGCTGTTAGCACTTTTGTAATACTTTACAGTTTCCAAGCACTTTCCTAACCATCATCATGAATAATCTTCACAACAGCCCTATAGTTTGGATGGGCTGTATGCAGTTGGTTTTAATCCCCTTTTATTTTTTTAAATTTAATTTTATTTTCTGTATTGGGGATCGAACTCAGGACCTTGTGCTTATGAGGCAGAAGGTGGCACCACACGGCTAAATCCCCGGCCTTTATCCCCTTTTATTGATAAAAACTCTGAGGCTCAGAGATGATAGGAGACTTATCCAGGATGACAGAGTTAATGTCAGGTCTTAGACCTCCCACTTCATCTTTCTATAGATCTGCACTCTGTACCACTGAGGTGAAGTGTCTTTGCCTAGAGACAAGGACTAGGAAGTGTGGATCCTTTGATATAAACTCAGAAGGCAGCAAAACCCCAGGAGTTGATAAAACCTTTCCGAGATCCCCCAGCTTCTCATCTGTAAAGTAGGGGTAATGATACCCCTAGAGGAATAGTGAAGATTAAAAGAATCACTGCATAAAGTGGCTGGCAGATAAGCCATCATGAGCACCCACCCCACCCATGCACATGTCACACACCTACACACACTCACCTGTGTGTTCTGGATCTGGATGGCTCCCTGGGGGATTGCTTGGGTGACCACCTGACCCTGGGAGGTTACCATGGTAACCGGTTGGTATAAGGCTCCACCTGAGGAGACAACCAGTTTTTGGGTCCCCTGTCATGGGAGGGTTGGGAGGAGTGAAGGCAAACAGGGTCCCCAAGTCACTTGGCATTTTTGTGTGAAGACCCTCTGCTGTGGAGGCCTGGGCCAGCAAGGTATGTTTCTTTCACTTGTAGAGGAGGAGGAGATGTGTGGGGATGGTGTCCACATGTGAGAGCAGAGCTTCTGCTGGGAAGTGTTTGAGGGAAGGGACCGTAGTCTTACTTAGTCTTGGTAGGGGAGCTCATGAAGAATTTGACCCAAATTTTTTCCAACCCATCCAATCAAGTCCTGGTGCACTGTCTGCAGAACACTTGTCAAGACGCTGAGGGTGCTGGGCGTCCCATGGCAGTGGACGCCCTCTGATCCTGGAGTTCCCTAGGGACTATCCTGTCTGCTTCCAAGGGTGTTCCCCGCAATCCCCAGCACCCCATCCCCAGCACTGACCTGAAACAACTTGTGAGTTGACGGTTGTCATAGCGATGTTGCCCTGCTGGAGCGCTGAGGCTGGGACCACAATCCCCTGGGGGTTATTGGAGACTCCAGACATGGAATTGGGGGAATTCTGTAGGAGGTCCTGGCAGTAGGGGAGGCATGGTTTATGACAACGTCCCTGACAGCTTAGATGCTACAGCCCCAAAGTCCTCCTCTCCCCTTCCTGTTTTCCCTCCTTCCTTCCTGCTCCTCTCCAGTCCCAAGTCCAGAAGGCAATTTGCATGGCGAGAAAGACTAAATAAGACAACATTAAAAAAATGAAAATCCAGACCAGAAAACCAACAGTGATCATCTATTTAACCATTCCACTCCCTGCCAACCTGAGGTACAAATTATCCCCTAAGCCAGCGGGCAGCACCTTGGCTACACTTTGGAATCTCCAATCCATACCCTGAGGCTCTTATTTAATGGGCCAGGGTAAGAGCAGGACTTTGGGGTATGAAAACTCTCCAGGCATGGCACGGACCCTCACTTTACCTGCTCTGTACCTGCTCATTCCTCATATTCAGCAGCCCCAGTCTTTTTCCCCGGCTGTCTTCCCTGCTCTGCAGTGCCTTTTTTCCTCACATCCTTTAAACGGCATATATTATACTCCACATCAGGCACAAAGCAGCCTGTACTTTTCATTTTATATTTTACTATTTAATTTTTTTTTTTTTTTTTTTGCAGTGCTGGGTATCAAACCCAGGGCCTCATGTACATTACCACTCAGCTACATCTCCAGCCCTCCAATGTTTTACCTTTGTCTCCTTAGCACCTAGCTCAGAATATTAAAATGTTTGTTTAAAAATAACAATGAAGATCACTGGCCTCTGCATAACCTGTCTTCTAAGGGAATCTAATATAAGTCTCCACTGCAGCTGCCTCCAGCACATATCATTGATTCTCTCCTCTTCCTCAGGCTCCCAAAACAGGACTCCACAGGAAACAGAGACCCTTTGCCCCGTATTTTCAACCCATAGAGTGTCCTTGTAGTTTGTTTTTGCAGTAGCCAAGGAAGTTAAGACATTTTTTCCAGCATGCTGCTCCCTTCACATTCTTATTCAATAGTCAGATAAGGAAGTCCTTGGACTTGACAATGAGGGATTCCTGACCTTAGAGGAAGGAGGCGTGGTGGCTACAGGTCCCTAAGGAGTGAGGGACCCTCTCTGACTCTGGGGAGCCCACATGTGAACAGACTGACTGTGTGAGAGGTCATTGTCTCTAGAATTGGAGAAAGCAAGAAAGTGAGCCAGTGAGATGTAGAAGAAGAAGGCTTAGGGGACTTTCCTAGATCTCTTAGTTCCTCACTGTAAAAGGTTTGAAGCAGTTAATCAGTCCAACATCCATACCGGTGGATGTCCCAAAGCTCAAATGCTGAGACCATAAAGCATGAACTGCAAGGATTTCAACATAGGTAAATAGCCAAGAAAATAGATTAGACAGGGTATGTGGACTCAGGGAGGGATCCTAGTTTTTGTTTTAGGACTCAGAGAAGCTTGTGTCTTCAGCCTCCAGGGAAAGTCTAGAATTTGCAGCAAAGAGATACTTGTGCTTGGAAGAAATCTTGAGCCAATGACTGCTTACCTGAAGCAACAGACTAAGGGAAAGTGTCAAAGTATCAGAGTCTCCTCCCAGACCCTGACACTCTGACTAGGCAGAGCTTCTCAGGAAGTAGAAACTGGCACTGATTTCTACATCTCACTAGATTTAGCTGGTCAAATCCCCCATAGCATCTCCACCTGAGCTGGCTTTTTTGCCCTCCTGGATTGCCCCTGGCCTGAGATCTGGAGGAATAGCACCTATAAATACTACACAGCAGCCCCAGAGAACTGGTGTCAAGGCTCCCCTCTTCCCACCCACCTGCCACAAAGGGCCTCTGGGTCTGGCTTCTCTGGGTGGGTGAAGTAGGAGGCTTTGCTTCTATACTTGGATCACCTCTACTGCTATGATCTTGGGGGAGGGCTCCTTTCTTCACTTCCCCTTTCTGGGGCCCTATAAGAGCTTCCCAGCCAGTGAGGTTTATTCCTTGAGCAGAACTCTTGATATGGTTGTTCATGCAGTTGGATTCTAAAACTATAAGAACTCTTAAAAGCCTCCATATATTCCTACAAGTAAGAAACAGATTTATAGGCCCTAGTGTCTTGCCCAAGGTCCCCCAGCTGATTAGCAGGAACAGGACGAGAACACAGCTCTCCTTCATCCACAACTATAGTACACTCAGTATTTAACCTCCTTGTGCTGGGTTCTGGGCTACAAGGCAATCCTTGAATCCTAGTCACCTAGTCAATCCTAGGTGAGCAGATGAGAAACAACTCAAACCAAGAAGAAGTGTGGGCACCAGAGGAAAGATGACTAGTTTGGGAATCGTGGAACAACCCTTCTGTGGGCCTCACTTTGCTGTTTATAAAATGTATTCTCCCAGTGCTGACATCCTTGGAACAAGGTTGATCTAAGATTGAGCTCCCCTTGTTTCAACATCCCAGCCCGCCACTCTTACAGGGCATAAACCAGTCTTGATGTTATCTGGAACTGAAGCCAACATTCAACGTAAAGTCAACAGAGGAAAGGGGACCTCGATACTATTCATCCTAAAACCAATGGAAGCAGCTTGATAAGTCTCATTTGGAATCATCTGTGCTAAGATGCTCATCTTTTGCTAGAGATATTTGAGAATTTCAAACAGAAAGAGTTAACTCAGACTCTCTTTGCTCATAAGAAACATCCAGCAAGTTTAGGAAAATGCAGGCAAAATCAGTACCATAATACAAGATGTGTCCCTTGGGATTCAACCAACGCATACTGTCTTCTAGCCAAAGGCAGAAGGGTGAGATACCACCTGGATACTTCATCTGCTTACTCAAACTCTGGCTAGTTCTCTACCCTGTGGCTTAGATAGTTCCATGCCAGCTTACCAGGTCTGGGTACCTAAAGGCAATTTATACATTGGATCAGATCCTTTTCTCTCCCACCCCTCTCCTCCTTCTCTGGGTCTTTGCCTGAGAGGCAGCCAAATTATATCAGCAGAATGAAATGGGAAACTTCAGGGGTAGAGATTGCAGGCTGGCCAGGGCTGGCCACATTTTCTTGGGGCAAGAAAGAGGATGCAAAGTGCTGACATACCCAAGGTCTGGGGAAATAGTATTCATCCCCTGCACCTGCCAACAGGAGCTGTTTCAAAAGCCTACTGAGCATGGGGATATTTTTAAAGACATATGTTCTCACTGCCACTGAATTAGACCCTCAACAATCAGTATTTTTAAAAATCTCCTTTGGCTAGCCAAAAGATCACATGAGTCTGGAAATTACCTGTTTATCATACACACTGAGTATTAGTGTTCTTCACATGGCATTTCACATTAATCTTGCCATCACCTAATGAAGTCAGCAAGACAGCGATTATTCCATTTTCCTGAAGAGGAATTGAGGTCTAGAGAATGAAAGTGACTTCCAGAGCCAAACAGCCGTGAATGTAGGACAGATGCTCACAGGGAAAGGAAATGGACCCTGGGGTCAGACAGACAGGCTCCAATGCAAACACATTGCCTGGCACATTTAGCCACCCAATAATTTATTTCCAACTTCCTTTGGCCGAGGTCACTCAACTAGGGAGTGGCATAGTGGGGATTAAAATCCTGTCCTAGAAGTCCTAGAGCCACTTGGGTTCTTTACTTAGCAACAGAAAAAGTTCAGCTGAGGTTGCACACCCAGCCAGAGTGGCACAAACCTTGCCACATAACCCTCTGGGTTCTGCTTCTCTGCTTAACCCACTCCCCAGGAAGGCCCAGAGTTCTGAACACAGCCCCAGCTCAGCTTAGCTCCAAAACTTCACTCTGCTGCATTTGCAAGTCCAGCCTCAGCCTCTAACTCTATAGAATGGTGACAGTGAGGCCTGGGGAAGATTGTTAGCTAAGCACACAGCATTATTATCTTCCCTACAGCTCTCCCAGGGGTCTTATCACACTCCATATCCAGGTGGGTGCTGGTCTGTCTGGATCTAGATGGAGCCACTTTCTTCCAGGCTCCTTAGCACCTGCAAAGAGGTGAGAAGCACACGCAGTACAATTTTAGTGACATTTTCCAGCATCCAGAGTCTCACGTCCTTGCTTGAATTGTCCAGGAACAAGGGGCTGAGGACTGATTATTCAGCTCAAGAACTCCTCGCCTTGCCCCACAAGCACACTGCTTGATGTCTCTCTGGAGAGAGGCTGAAGCCTGAGGATGAGAGGGAAAGCCACGCATTGGGCTCACAGATGTGCACAGTGGCTGCCTGCTCTTGTCCCCAGTGTGCTGGCCTTTCCTTGGGACGTAAAGTGGTAGCTCTAGGATGGTGGCAAGCTTGTGCCCCCAGAGCACCGCCTACCAGGGCCATTACTCATTCTTTCTGGACCTGAGCAGTCACTGGGTGGGTTTTACTGTAAATCTCCTTCTTTGAACAAGAAAGGATTACCTGTTCAAAATGAAGACTTTACTAAGTAATAGGAAGTGCTATGGGGTGACTTTGGGAACGTAGGGCACCCATGAATCGACAGAGGCTGTTGCCCTCCTTGTGAACCACTGTTCTTCAGTATTCACAGGGAAAGGGCCTCCGCTGCCCGGGGAGACTTAGTTTCCACTCACGATGGAAATTTCTGAAAGAAACCATGATGGAAAGCAGACATGAAGCAGTGAGGGAAGGAAGTGACGGTAAAAGTTTCCCTTGAAGCTCTTTAGAAATTGTTGGAATTTTTATCTTGCTAGGGTGCCCGTGAAGCAGGGGAATGACTTGCAAAGGTCCTTGGAGCTGTGGACTGTAGAAAAACCAACTCGGTTTCCTGGGACTTCCGGTGTGAGGAGAGGGAGTGGCTGGAGGCAGCGAGGGGTAATGCTGAGGAGCAGGGCCCCAGTTACCTGCCATCCTCACTCTCGCCACTAGGGGTCTCTGCTGATCCACCGCCTCAGGTCGGCTCATCAAGACCTCCCAGGAGGATGGACGGCTTTAGTAGCTTACTTGCCTGGGCTAGAAGAGTAACCCGGTAGGTTCAGAGTTCCCCACTTCTGCTGGGGAGCTTGTCTTATCCTGAGCATAGTCATGAACCATCCTCTTCACTGCTCCCATTTACC